GTTTTAAAAATATCAAGGGTGAATGTGAAATGCCTTATTAATTGCCTTTTAAACATCAACTAAAATGATCACATGATTTTTGTTTGTAGGTATATTAGTATGGTGGTCTATGTTAATGGATTTCCTGAAATTGGTGCATCCATGCATTCACAAAAAACCCAAAACCAACATTTTGTCTTGGTATATTATCCTTTTAATAGGCTGCTGGACTCTGTTTCATAGTATTTTATTTAAGACTTTTGTTCCAATATTCTCAGATAAGATTGATTTCTTTTTTATTTTTGGTATTACTTTAGTTGGGTTTTGGAATAAATGTTATGCTTACTTCACAAAAAGAATTTGCAAACTTTTTTTTTAAGCTGAGGAACAATTTCCAATAGCATTGGAATAATGTGTTTTTTAAAGGTTTAGTAGAATTCTCTAGTGATATTTATGGCCTTAATGCTTTGGGGGGGACTTAGGCCTTGATAATATTTCTCTATTTCCTGTTTGGTAATTATTCTATTTAGTATTCTTTTGTTACTGAACTAGTTTTCTTGCATTGTATTTTTTATTTTTAGAAAATTATCTGCTGTATCTATAATTTATATTCATAGAATTGAGAAAAGAAATCTTTTTGGTTCTTTAAATTTCCTCTGTATTCATGAATCATTCTTGATTTCTTATTTCAAGAAGAAAAGAAAAAGAAGACTCCAATTTAAATATAGTAATGATTCTATAAATATATCAGGCTAAACCAGCCAATTTAAAAGACAGATTGTCAGGTAGGATTTAATGAAATGTAGCCATATGCTGTATGCAAAAGGAGCATTTAAAGCATAAGGACATAAAAAGGTTGAAAATAAAAGGATGGAAAGCTATGCGAGTTAAATATAAAACAGTAAAAAGAAAGTGGCATATATTAATATCAGACAAAAAAGACAAAACTTTTTAGAAGTAGAAAGACTTAACTATATAGTGTTAAAAAAGATTCAGTTTACCAGGACAATATAATTAGAACCTTATGCATTTAATAACATAATCTCAAACTATGTAAAGCAAAATTTGAAAGAACTATAGGAAGAAATGGAAACCACAGGAAGAGCAACAATAATAGCCGTGTGTCTCAATTATTGATAAACCAAGCAAACAAAAAGATACAGAAAATTTAAGTAATAATAAACAAGTTAACCTAGTGGACATACCGAGATCTCTCCACATAACCATTAGAGAATTCATATTCTTTTTAAACATGTGGAAAAATTAATAAAAACATGAGTGTGCTGAAATATCTATATGAGGATATTCACTGCAGCAGTGTTTAGAATACCAAAAAAATAGGAAAATGTGTAGACCCATTGGTTAGAGAATGGTTGAGTAAATTATGGCATATTCATAGTATGGACAATTATGTAACTATAACTTATATTAAAACAATGTATAAACATACAACAAAAATAAAACTTCATAAGGCAATCACTTATAACATAAATACATAAAATCATTAATTTTCCTAGATACCATTGCTAGTCAGAAAATATGATAGAAGAAAAAATCCCACTAATAAATAAAAGCAATAAAAAAAGCTCCCGTAACATGCCCAGGAATTTAAAACGTAATAAGATTTCTACTAGGACCTCTAGGATAAAAACTATAAAGTGCTATTAAGGAACATAAAAGAAAATCTAAATGGAGACAACTTAATTTTCCCTGTATTTAGCTATAAATTTGTTATAACCCTAATAAACCCCGGCAGCCTCCCAGTAGTCTAGCCCCCGTGCTGCTGCCTTAATGTTGACTTCTTGCTCCCTGTCCTATCCAGAGTGTTCTGCTGCCTCTTGAGACAAAAGGTTGAAAGTTGAGTGACATGCTTTTGTTCTAGCTGCAAAGCATCAACTGATTTGAGAGGAAGATAAAGAGGGATGGCGTTCACTCACTCAGCCCAGGTTTGTGGTTAAAAGCATAGACTGCTAGTGTCCAAGTCCCGGTCTTAAAACTTACTATTATAGTTGTGTTATGGACAAGTTTCTTAGGCTCCTGGAACAGAAACTAAGTAAGCTAAGCTCTTAATAAAAGGCTGTATTTAGCAGACACCGAGCACCTATGGTGTATCAGGCAACAGAGGGCACCCAGAGATGACAAACAGCAGAGGCAGACTGTCTTAGTGGGTAAATGTGGCCTCTAGAGTCAGGGCAGGTTTGTAATCTGACTTCAACAGGTACAAGATGTGTAGTATGGGGCAAGTTTCTTAAACTCTGAAAATCAGCTTATTGATCTATGAAATGGTGATAACATTCTCTTCCCAAGGTGGTTGTGTGGGTTAAATGAGGCCACCAATGTAAACTGCTTACATAGCATACGAGTAGAGCCCGTATGGTGCCTGATGCAATCAATGTAAAGGCTCAGTAAATGTTAGCCATGATGATTTTTATGGTTCCTCATACTTGAGGCAATTCACAACGTCCCAAGCATAGCCACCTACATTATGTTCAGTGCTTATAAAACACTGAGCTATTATGGTTATTTAGAAATTGCCATTCGTACTAAGCATATGGAGGCTTACTAGAGGCATTGTGACTAGTTTGAAATCACAGCTTCTAAGTGGGGGTGCCAGGATTCTGATCCCCAACTTCTCCGGGTCTTTATCTCATAGTTTTATTTCCTTTGTCCCACTTCTCACACGGCTGCAGGGCAAGGACTGTGATAACAATAACAAGGTCATAAGTATGCCAAGGAATCAGGAAGGAGAATTCTGACTACAAGGTCTTGGAAAGGCTGCAAGAAGGCAAATGGAGTTAGTTTTAAGTGATGCTTGTCGACTTTGGGGAGCTGGTGCCTGATGGATACAGTGGTGAGGTAAGGTGGAGAGTGGGCTGGGGAGATTTGGCTTCCAGTCCTGGCTCAGCACTAGCTAGCTGTGAGATGTTGAGAAGGTCCAGTCCCTTTTCTAGGCATGTTTCCTGAGGGCCTCATGCAGCAGGATGGGAGGGAGGCGAGGTAGGGACTGCTTTCAAGAAGAGAGTGGCAGGCTGGCCTCGTAGGCGCTGATGCCTTTCGGTGCCTAGGGCCTAACTGGAGCAGAGCATGTAAGTCTGTTGTGGGCCGTTCAGGAAGGTTGGGAGCAGGCTGGGGCCATGGGGAAAGGATGTTCTTGGAATAGGTGACCTTGGTGTCCGGAGGCACCGCTGGTTCTGCACTTTGACCGCTAGAGGGCGCTGCCTTTCAGGCCTCCCTGCGCTTCAGCAGCTGAACGTTTGGCCCCTTGAGCCGCGTGTGGCGTGGGGTCGGGCTTGTGAGGCTAGCCTGGGAAAATTTAAACTAGCAGTGGAGGTCGTGTGTGGGGGAATGGGGGTGGGGGTGGGGAGGGTGCAAGATCGGGTCTGGTGGGTCCTGGAGACACGGCCTGCACTGGAGCTGCAACTGGCCCTCAATAGCGGGAAGAGGTAGTGGGGGAGGGAAATGGGGGGACTCTCTGGGTCCACGTGCCAGGAGCAAGTCCCCTCTTCTTCATAAAGCAGAGCGGGCACGCAGGAAGGTGCAGATTAGGCTAACATCGTCACCTTCCAGCCTTCCCCAGGATGGAGAGGTGACAGCTGGCAGTAAACGCCCCCTCTCCCCGACCTTTTGAAGTGGGAAGCACGCGGAGTCCAGGATTCAATTCAAGCTTCGCGTGATCTCAGGCACGAATCGAACCTTGCTCAGCCTCACGTTCCTTTTGTGTTTAAAGCTCCCTCATGCGAATATTGTGACGATTAAATGATACCCCAGTTTTCTGGGGAATGTGGACTGTCGCTGGTGGGGACGAGCGTGTAAAGAAGAGGCTACGTTCTCTCTGCCACCAAAACCCAGATCTAGCCTCTCAGAGGAGCTGGAAGGTTAACAACCAGCTCCACAAATGCCTCTGTTTTCAGATCTCCCACAAAACTGACAAAAATGTCTCAGGCCCAGAGATGGGATCTCACCAACTGCCACAAACCTGACTCCTTACAAGTAGAGCCAGACTGTAAGTAAACCAGAGCTAGGGTCTGGAGGCCTGGGGAGCACTCGTCTGCTTTCTCAGGCTTCTGGCTCTGACCCTTTTCTGCACACCAGAGCAGGGCCTCTCAACCTTAACAGTGCAACCCTTCTGGCTGTCTGCTGAAGTCTCCTGGTCCTCTTCTCAGAGTTAACATTTAAAATGAATAAAATAAAATACACAGGATAACAAAGGACCCAAATTCTATAAAAGCAATTGTCCGAACGCTGAAAGAATGGTTGGTGGAGCAGGATACGTGCTGCTTTAGATGTAGCATCAGCCTCAGAACTGTCGTAATTGTATAGTAGTGGGGACCGTATATGACATTTTGAGGAACCTGTAACAGCTGTAATGAGATTTGAAAATACCTGTGATGTCTATCAATGGCAGATTCTATCGTGGTTTGTGGCCTACATTCATAATTGAGGCAAATGCTAACTTTCACCTGGAGACTGGTGAAAATAAAGATATCCTGTGTTCCCCCAATTCACCCATCGCAGGAATAAATCCGCGGCCCCCAGTGAAGAATCTCCGCAGATCGGGCTCCTCTTTTTACAACTAGGGAAACTGAGACAACCAGGTCTCCCGATTCCTAGGTCAAAGGTCTTCCTACTAAAGTGCATAACTCTGGACCTTGGAGAAAACTATCTTTAAACCATGATTTTCACCCTGGAGTTCCCAGGTTTACTGTCAAAAACATGTCAGTAGCCTGAAGCCTCCCTTGTTTGCAGCATAGATCTGGGATGTGAACTGCCCTCAGAGGTGCCACCCAGGGCCAGCTCCAAGCTCCACGGAGCCCAGTGGCTTGTCCCAGGCCAGACTCTGAGGGCTCCAGAGGAGAGGTGATCCGAACCTTGGTAACTTGCCTCTACTATCTATCTCCTTTCTACGGGTAAGAATGACCCTGTGTCCATTTATCCCTCCATGAGCACTGAACAAAAGAAAGTAGCCTGGGGGATTTAGAACAGCATGAGGGACCTAGGTTCACCTGGTTCAAGGTACTCACCTGGATCTCCCTCCCATGAACACAGTGTGGTGTTCTTTCCCATTCGAGGAAAGTGTCACGACGCCCGTGTCTGCTGGAGAAGAGCCAGCATGCTGGCCCAGCTGGCCAAGTGACACTTTTCTTTCCCAGGCTCCTGAGGGTAAAGGCATTTCGAGAGCCAGGGTTTCTCAGGGACCTCGTTGGAAGCCTGTCCTTGCCTGATCTGTTCCATTAACTGTCCCATCCCTGCTCCCAGACCCCAGGTCCTCAGGGGGCCTCTTTACCTCAGGACAGTGGTTCACTCCTCTCAGGCGGGGGTCTCTGGTGACGGCACTTTGAATAAGTTCTCAGCCCTTGGCTTGTTCTTCAGTCTTGTTAAAACCCCATGTCCCACTTCCGTCAGTGCTCTGCCTTCATTACTGGTATATATAGTCTTTGAAAACCACAGAATGGGTTTTTGTAGCCGTCAGGGATCTTCCTGCCTCTCCCTCCTCCACCCCCAATTGTGAGTGTTTTTCTCCTTTCTCTCCTCCACCTCCTCTGCTGCTTTCTCTTTTTCCTTTCCCTTTTTCTTGTATTAGAAATAGACTAAGGTGCTGAGAAGGCAGAGCAAAAAAGTTACCCTTTGAAACTCTTTTCTTCACCTTGAGGGACACAGACTTTTCATCTGATAATTCATAGTAAGGACAAGGCTGGTAATAGAATAACCAGAAGATATAAGGACAGGCTGTGCTTTCAAGTATAAAGAAAGGTGCCGAGTCTTGTCCTGAGGGTTTTGCTCAGGAGTAGGACAGAGAATGGACCTGCTCTAGGCTGCAGCGGATGAGGGCAGGGAGGGCAGGAGAGGTGAGGAACGGGGGCCGCCAAAGTGATCCTGTACATAGGGGTGAGAGATGGACAACTTATCTTATTCCCCCACCTACGACCCCCCTACCATTTCCATTCTGTTCTGTTCCTCCTTGGTTCATGACGGCTGGGGAGACCACGATGATTATTTCTAAATTCTAGGGATTGTGCACTTTGGTGGAAAGAGCATTGGTCTGAGAATGAGAAGCTTTGGGTTCTCGGCAAGGCCAGCCCAGGCCGTGTGCCAGAGGATACCCGGCACACCGGGAAACCCCCGGGTTGTAGAGCAGGCACCTGCCATGATGGCCAACCAGTGCTGGGCTACCCAGAAGCCCAAGGGGTGTCATAAGAGGTGGGGTTGGGGGAAATTTCTCGTGACTAATCTAGAGTCGCTCTCACCCTTGTGTGGACAGGAATCCTTGTTTGGCTGTCCTCTGTGGTCCTTAAGACAGTAAGGTGCTCTAGGCTTTGAGGTCCCTGGAGGTGGCTGCACCAAAGCCATCATTGCAGGTGTCGTCAGGTGACACCAACAACAGGAACATCTTCTTATTCCATCAAACTCTTCGGCTTTCACAACAGAATGAGTTGATTCCAGGAGACTGGGGGATGGGAACCCATGTTGGGAAGGGGCAGTGTCATCCCATCTACATGTCTGTCATCACCATCCTGGTCACAGGACCAGTCCACCAGGATCCCTGGCCCCACAGACGTAAACTGCCAAACTGGGCCTGGTATCTGGTAACCCAGTATCCTTCTTTGCTGTCCCTACAATAGTGGTCACTTTTATGACTTCTCTGTTCTCTGAAATGGAGATTTGTCCGTGCTTGTCTGTGTGAGATACGCGGAGGGTTGGCTATGCGGGCGTTTCATTCAGGGCCTATCCAGCAATGATTGTTTTGAACATGAAGAGGAGTTGAAGACAACAAGGGCCATCAGGGCATGAAGATGGGGCCGCTTGAGCACCCACAGACGCATATGTGTTGACACTAGTTATTGCAAAGTGTAAAGACCTCAGGTCTTGAAATGCAACCACAGAGGACTGACTTCCTTCATATCGGTCGTGTGGTATCTATCCATCCTGCAAACACTTGTACACGTAATTTTCTGAGAATGCTGCTGCTGGTCACCCCTCACTGAACAGCATTGTGTGTTAGGCGCTGGGGTTGACATGAGTGAGCTGCCAGGAAGAGCACACTGTTGAGAGGGGCCCCATCCCCACGAGATGAGGTGGAGTGTGCCAAGTGCTTACGTACCCCAGAAGTGAGAGCAAACCCAGAAAGGAGGGGAGGAAGGGAAGGAGAAAGAAAGGGGGACTGCCCCATGTGCCAGACACTTTTAGGTACTTTAGTAGACAAAGGGACCTTTGAAGGGAGCTTTGAAAGAAGGTAGGATTACAAAAGGCAGAGGGACACGTTTTTCAGATACAGGAATGATATGAATGAACAAAGTCTAAGGGACGTAAAGGAAAAACCAGTTTCCGACTTTGGGGGGCTGGTGCCTGATGGATTCAGTGGGAACCCCTGCAGCAAATTAGGTGGCTAGCATGTGCTCTGCCTCCTGGTGGGGGGCTGGAGGGGCTGACCCTCACCCACAGCCTCCCAAATAATTATCCTGTCAGCCTTTGGATGTTTAAAGGACCTGAGTCCAATTACACAATTTAGTAACTGATGCATAGTTTTCAAGGTCTTACTAGTAAGTGCTTACTTAGCATTACAAGAAAATCTGGATGGATAGTAAATCACATTTTTATCTTACTTCTGTAGAACTGTGAGGTCTCAGAAATGGAAAGGACTAAAGCAGCTATCTGGCAGGGTGCAGGAACTTCTAAGCCAGTGGTTCTCACACTTGAGCTTGTGTGAGGATCACTAGGTGATTGTTAGAAGACACAGTTTCTGATTCAGTACGTTTGTGGTGGGGTCCAAGATTTTGTATTCCTAACAGCTTCTCCGGTGCTGCTGCAAACTGTTCTGTGCAATACCCCTTGTATGCTTTGCTTTCTCTCTAGTGGGGTGCAACTCATTACCACCCAAAGCACTCGCCCCGTATTCTTTGGCGAACACCTCCAGCTATTGAAAAGTTCTGCCTCGTGTTGCCTTCAGACCCGCCTCCCTTTAACTTCCAACCAGTGCCCCTAATTCTGCCGAGGGCTCCACACACAACATGTCTCCAGCTCTCGGTTCAGTCACAGGTACAAGAGTCAGGATGCCTGGTTCATCCACCACTTATTATGTGACCTTGGGCAAGTCACTCAACTTTTCTGAACTTTCCTCATCTGCAGAACGGGGAGAATAATAGCACTTTCATCATAGGACGGATGATTAGATTAAATGAGAAAATGCATGGGAAATGATTAACATGGTGCTTGGCACATAGTAAGGACTCAGTAAACACTGGCTGTTATCATTACTTAGTTTTCCTTTTTACATGGGAGTCCATCAGATCTCCGAAGAAAGTTAGTTCTGCTACCTACCATTTCTCCTCCCTGTGCTAAATATCCCCGGTTCCTTCAACTAGCCCTTAGAGCACAGTTATTTTTTAAATTTACTTTTATTTTATGTTTTTATTTTTCAATTACAGTTGACATTCGATATTTGATATTAGTTTCAGGTGTACAGCACAGTGGTTAGACATTTATATAATTTATGAAGTGATCCCCCCTTAAGTCTAGTACCCATCTGACAGCATACATAGTTATTATAATATTAGTGACTGTATTCCTTCTGCTGTACTTTACATCCCTGTGACTATTTTGTAATTATCAATTTGTACTTCTTAACCCCTTCACCTTTTTCACCCAGCCCCCCAACAACCCTCCCTTCTGGCAACCATCAATTTGTTCTCTGTATCTATGAGTCTGTTTCTGTTTTGTTCATTTATTCTGTTCTTTAGATTCCATGATAAGTGAAATCATATGGTATTTGTCTTTCTCTGACTTATTTCACTTAGCATAATATCCTCTCAGTCCATTCATGTTGTCACAAATGGTTAAGATTTTATTCTTTTTTTATGGCTGAGTAATATTCTATTTGTGTGTGTGTGTGTGTGTGTGTGTGTGTGTGTGTGTGTGTGTGTGTGTGTATGTATGACACTTCTTTATCCAATTGTCTATTGATGGACATTTACTTAGGTTGCTTCCATATCTTTTTTTTTTCTTTTGAAGGGCATGATAGTGTATTTTAAAAAATTGTACCACACTGATCATAATGACCAGCATACACATTGTGATGGCTTTTCTCTTGGGTTTTAACATTGCAGTATTTTTGCATACTGAAATGTTTCAATAGGACCAAGAATGTTAGAGAAATAAAGATTTTAGATGAAAATGAACACCACTAATTCTGGTGTCCTACCCCACAGAATTAATTTAAACCCCTTATGAATCAGTGGCATTACAAAGTTATGGAGTTTTAAAGAACAAAAGTTCTCTTTAAGCAGGCAGCATGAACTTACACTTCCTTGTACTTTAATTTTTAGTTTTTACAATTTAAGATGTGTCCACCCTGGCTAAAAGCACAGTCATACAAGACACCTGAGATCATTTCCATGCTACCATTGCACAAGTTTAGTGATTTTACTTCAAAAAAAAAATCAAACCACCATTAAAATAAAGAGGGAAGTAAAACTGATTTTCAAATCATTTGAAAAGCATAGTGCTTATTTGTCCAATGCAGATTCAAACTTAAATGCTATAATTAAACCTCCAAACTTATGCAATAAAGTTAACATTTATGTATGTGTGGGTTTTGTTGATCAAACTGTATTTTGCAATCATTATGAGAAAGTTACTTTTTAGAGAACATATTTGGTTACAGTTCCACATATCTGCAGTACAGACAAAGCCACATAATGTTTAATCTGGCTCTAAGTTAGCCCTAAGGTATAAAATTTTGATCAACATTATACTCTCATCTTAAAAATTCAACACATATGAGATTACTTTTTAGAGTAAATGTGCTGTTGAGTAATTTCAATAATCACTCTTTTCTTTAATCTATTGCTTGGTTATTATCTTCCATATCTTGGCCATTGTAAATGATGCTGCAATGAACGTAAGGGTGCATATATCTTTTCAAATTAGTGTTTTGGATTTCTTTGGATAAATACCCAGAAGTGGGATTGCTGGGTCATAAGCTAGTTCTATTTTTAATTTTTTGAAGACGCTCAATGCTGTTTTCTACAATCCCACCGACAGTGCACGAGGGTTTTCTTTTCTCCACATCCTCACCAACACTTGTTTTCTGTTGATTTATTGATGATGGCCATTCTGACAGGTGTGAGGTGGTATCTCATTGTGGTTTTTATTTGCATTTCTCTGATGATTAGTGATGTTGAGCATCTTTTCATATGTCTACTGGCCATCTGTATGTCCTCTGCAGAAATGTCTATTCAAGTCCTTTGCCCATTTTTAATTGGATTGTTTGTTGTTTTTGGTACTGAGTTATATGAGTTTTGTATAAATTTTGGATATTAACCCATTATCAGATGTATCATTGAACAGAGTCTGGTTTGTCCAATTCCCTTGTCAAGTGTGGGGCTGGCCTCAGCATAGTCAGAGCTTCATCTATTCACT